CCCGCCCCCCCCCCCCCCCCCCCCAAAATCCTCTGGGTTCCTCCTCCTTCTGGAAGTTTCAGGTTGACCTTCTCCCTAGAAGGTTCCTCCTGACCCACCCGTTAATCACCCGGGACCTTTGGTCCCCCGTCCTCGAGCTCATTATCGCGGCTTTAATTGGGTTTTTATCGCTTCTCCCTTTAATTATTACCCCCTTTGGGGACCCGAGAAGGTCCACGAGGGACACGTTCCACACGCTCCTCCCCCCTGCCCCATCCCGAGGTCCTACCAAAGCTCCTCAGTAGCCAGCTGCTCACCAGTAGCCCAACCACCAGTAGCCCACCACTCACCAGTAGCCCAACCACCAGTAGCCCAACTGGTCCCCAGAAGCCCAAGGGTTCACCAGTACCCAACCACTCACCAGTAGCCCAAGGACTCACCAGTAGCCCAACCACCAGTAGCTCAAGCCCTCACCAGTAGCCCAAATGCCAGTACCCAACGCCTCACCAGTAGCCCAACCACCAGTAGCTCAAGCCCTCACCAGTAGCCCAAATGCCAGTACCCAACCACTCACCAGTAGCCCAAGGGCTCACCAGTAGCCCAACTCCGCACCAGTAGCTCAAACCCTCACCAGTAGCCCAACCACCAGTAGCACCCAGCTGCTCCTCAGAAGTTCTCCAGACCTTTCTCCTTCTTCTTAACACCTTTCTTCTTCTCCAGACCAACCAGAAGGGCCTGGAGAAGAGGGAGAAGGGCCTGGAGAAGAGGGAGAAGGGCCTGGAGCCCAAGGAGAAGGGTCTGGAGAAGAAGGAGAAGGGTCTGAAGAAGAAGGAGAAGGGTCTGGAGAAGAAGAAGGGTCTGGAGAAGAGGGAGAAGGGTCTGGAGCCCAAGGAGAAGGGTCTGGAGAACTTCTGAGGAGCATCTGAGGGAGCTGGGGGTGTTCAGCCTGGAGAAAAGGAGGCTGAGGGGAGACCTTCTCGCTCTCTCCAACCCCCTCAAAGGAGGGTGTAGCAAGGGGGGGTCGGTCTCTTCTCCCAAGGAACAAGAGGAAACCACCTCGAGTTGCACTAGGGGAGGTTGAGGATGGAGATTGGGAACAACTTTTCCACGGAAAGGGTTGTGAAGCCTTGGAAGAGGCTGCCCAGGGAGGTGGTGGAGTCGCCATCCCTGGAGGTGTCCCAAAGCCAGGTTGACATGGTGCTGAGGGACGTGGTTTCACAGTGGCTTGGTCGGTGTTGGGTTGGACTCCAGGATCTGGAAGGTCCCTCCCAACCGGGACGATTCTACGAGCACCTTCTCCACGCTCCTGGTCACGGTTGAAACCACCCCGACCCCTTGACTCCGCCCCGGTTTCTCTTTGTACTTTCGCTGGTGATTAAAAAAAAAGTGAATTACTATTTATTTTGAATCCCCACGCACGGTCATAAAAAAGTCCACGCTCTGGTGTCGTGGCACGTGTCCTCCTGCGACCTCGGCATCTCCAGCGGCGACTGTTATCTTTACAGCCCTGGGACATGGCCTTCTCCCCACCCCCCCGACCTGCCAAAGTTCTTCTTCCCTCCAGCCCAGCCGGGGGTTGGGTGGGAACGTGGTCGCCACCCAAAGCGACGTGTTCTTGGCCTCAAAACCACCGAGCAGCCGGCCCCCAGAAAGTCCGATTTTGAGGGGATTGTGTCCCATTTTTAAATGCCAGGATGGTGGGGGTTGGGAGGGAGCTCTGGAGACCACCCAGGCCCACCCTCACCCCCTCCAGAGCAGGTCCCACAGGGTCCCATCCAGGTGGAGGTTGAAGGTCTCCAGAGAAGGAGCCCCCACCCCCTCTGGTGGCCTCTCCCAGGGCTCTGCCACCCTCATGGTCAAGAGGTTCCTCCTCAGGTGGTCAAGAGGTTCCTCCTCACGTTGAGGTGGAACTGGTTGAGGTGGAACTTTCCGTGTCCCAGTTTGTCCCCGTTGCCCCTTGTCCCATCACTGGGCACCGCTGGGAAGAGGCTGGTCCCATCCTCTTGACACCCCCACTTTGAGGTCCCCCCTCAGCCTTTTCTTCTGCAGCTGAACAGCCCCAGGTCCCTCATTCCAGAGAAGCTTCAGCCCCTCATCATCCTCACAACCTCCACCGGACCCTCTCCACCAGTTCCCTGTCCTTCTGGAACTGGGGAGCCCAGAACTGGTCCCAGTCTCCAGACGGGGCCTCCCCAGGGCAGAGCAGAGGGGGAGGATGGACCTCCCTCCACCCACTGGCCACCCCAGGAGACCATTGGCCTTCTTGGCCACAAGGGCACATTGGTGGCTCATGGGCAACCCACAGGACTCCCTTTTCTCTCTCCCTCCTACTCTCCAGCAGGTCACCCTCAACCTGTCCTGGTCCATGGGGTGGTTCCTCCCCACATGCAGGGCCCTACACTTGCCCTTGGTGGAACTTCATGAGGTTCTTCTCCCCACAACTCTCCATCTTGGCCAGGTCTCTCCGGATGGTGGCCCAGCCTCCTGGTGTGTCACACACCCCTCCCAGAAGGTGCTGAGGGTCCACCCCATCTCCTCATCCACCCAGCCCGTCAGGCCGTCGTAGAAGACTATCGGAGTGGTCAAGTGTGTTGTCCCCTTGGTGAAACCATGAGCTCCCCTTGATGACTCCATGATTTCTTGGTGAATCTGTGACTGTCCCTTGGTGAATCCACAATTTTGTGGTGAATCCGTGATTCCTCCTTGACCACGCCATGATTTTGTCGTGAATCCATGATGTCCCCTTGGCGAATCCATGATCTCCCCTTGGCGAATCCATGATTTCTTGTGGAATCCTTAATGTCCCCTTGGATAATCGATTATCTCCCCTTGATGACTTCGTGATTTCATGGTGAATCCATGATTTCTTGGAGAATCCATGATTTCTAGGAGAATCTATGATCTCCCCTTGATGACTCCATGATCTCTTGGTGAATCCATGATTTCTTGGTGAATCCATGATCTCTCCTTGGTGAATCCATTATTTCCTCTTGGAAAAATCCATAATTTCTTGGAGAATCCATTCTTTCCTCTTGGTGAATCCACGATTTCTTGGTGAACCCACGTTGACCCCTCTCTTCCCACCTCTGTCCAGGCACCCTCGGCCGGAGCCTCCAACAGCTTCGTTCTCCTGCAGCAACTTTGGGAATGAATTTTTGAACAATTTTTGTTGCTTTTCCACGGGAATTCGATCATCCCATTGCAATCATTTCCAGATTGACAAAATTCAACATTTTTTTAGCGTAAGAAGGAAAACTCCCAGGTTCCACCTCAAAACTCCTGATGGGACGGAGCCTTCTTCAGGCCCAACCCACTTGGTGGGGCTCCAATTCATCCACGCGGCAACAGCAACTTTGGGAATGAATTTTTGAACAATTTTTGTTGCTTTTCCACGGGAATTCGATCATCCCATTGCAATCATTTCCAGATTGACAAAATTCAACATTTTTTTAGCGTAAGAAGGAAAACTCCCAGGTTCCACCTCAAAACTCCTGATGGGACGGAGCCTTCTTCAGGCCCAACCCACTTGGTGGGGCTCCAATTCATCCACGCGGCAAAGAAATAAAAAACAAATAAAGTAAAAAAAAAAACCAAAACCAAAACCGAACCCCAAAGTTTTCCCCGCTGTCGGCACGAAACTTCCGTAATTCGTTAATTAAGCCGAAAATGTGCGGTAATTAAGCGGGTGAGAACCTGGTTGGGGGAGGAGCTTCTTTGCACGAGGAGGAGCCTCCGACTTCGCCGCTTTTAAGAGAAAAAAGGCAAAAAAGAAGAACCCCGAAAGTACCCGCCCCTCCCCTTTCCCCCCCCACCCAGGTGAGGGCGGAGCCGCCGAAAAACTTTCTCTTTTCCTTTCTCTGCTTTTTTCAGGAGGGGGAGGGGGGTGGAATTTCTGAATTTATCTTTTCGATCGGAATTGATTTTAGCGACAGGATTTTTAAAAATATTTTGAATTTTAATTTATTAATTTTTTAAATTTCCCCCCCTTTGGAATTTCCCTCCCCGGGGAATTCAAGATTTTGGTGTAGAAGAGGCAGATTTTGGGGGTGGGCCCCGTGGCTGGGAGTGGCTGGTTTGGGTTGTGGGGGGTGGAGTTTGCTGCTGGAAAGCGAATTTCTCCCTTTCCAGGATTTTGCTGGAATGCCTTCTTTTTTTTTTTCTTCCCATTATTTCCAGCGACGGGCTCTTAATTCCAAGAAAATACCTTCAATTTTCACTCGATTTCACAATCCTCCCCCAATTTTCGCTGCCGCAATCGAGAATGACAGAGGGTGGGAGCGGGGAATCGCCGCCTCCTCGTGATGGAAGAATCTGCCAAATCAGCAAAAAACAAGCTATAAATTCCCTTTTTTTTTTTTTTTTTTTTTTTTTTTAAAAAAAAAAAAAAAAAATTTTTTTTTTTTTTTTTTTTTTTTTTTTTCTCCTTTTAATTAAATAAATAATAAATTTTTTTTTAAAAAAAAAACAGCCACTCCAAAGGGGCGGCCGCCATTGGCCGAGCTCCTCGGGCGGGGCCCCTCCCGGCCGATAACGACTCCCCATAAATCCCGGGATTTGGAGCCGGGCGCAAACAGCGGGACGAGGAAGCAGAAAAGGAGGCCCCGAGGTACGTGGGTCTCTTTATTTACCAAATCCTCCTTTTTTTTAATAGGAATTTTTTGCCCTCTCCCCTTGAAAAAAAAAGCAGAGAAAGAAAAAGACAAATTTTTCCAGCAGAAAGTTCCAGATTTCCCCCTCCATCCCCCCAAAATTATTATTTCCTGGATTTATTTCCCGAATTTGGGATTCCCCCACATTTCTCCTCAAATTTCCCCCCCAAATCGTTCCCAAGCGCTTGGGAATAAAAGAGGGGAAAATGGAATTTTGGGGTTGTTTGCAGAAAAACCCTCCCCCCCCTTTTTAAATAATAAAGTAGAATGTATTTAATCGGGATGTAATAAATTATAGCATTCTGTAATGATAAGAATATTAGTAAGAATTATTCCAAATAATATAAGAATTATTCAGAATATAAAAATTAATCCGAATAGAAGAATTTTTCCAAATAGAAGAATTTTTCAAAATACAAGAATTAATCTGAACGTAAGAATTATTACAAATATAAGAAGTATTCCAAGTATCAGAATTATTCTAAATATCAGAATTATTCCAAATAAAAGAATTACAGTATAAGAATTATTCAGGATCCAAATTTTGAATCTAAGAATTATTCCAAATAATATAAGAATTATTCAGAATACAAAAGTTAATCCAAATAGAAGAATTTTTCCAAACATAAGAATCAATCTGAATATGAGAATTACACAAATATAAAAATTATTCCCAATATCAGAATTATTCCGAATATAAGAATGATTTAGAGTATAAGAATTACTCAGAATCTAAGAATTATTTCGAATCTAAAAATTATTCCAAATATAAGAATTATTCCAAATATCAGATTTTTACTCGGAATCTAAGAATTATTTTTAATCTAAGAATTATTCCAAATATAAGAATTATTCCAGATATAAGAATTATTCCAAATATCAGATTTTTTTCCAAATATAAGAATTATTTAGAGGATAAGAATTATTCCAAATAATAGAATAATTATTCAGAATATAAGAAATATTCCGAATGTAGAATCATAGAATTCTATGAATTGTAAGAAAAGTAAGAATGTGAGAATTATTCCCCTTGGCCCATTGAGGTAACGAGGGAGGGGATGTGATTTAAGACTGGAATAATTTCCGGAATTTAACCCCAAAATTGTCGTTTTTTTTGGTTTCCTTCCACGACGGGGCCGAAGATGGGGAAGAAGAGGAAATTCAGCGGTTTGGAAATCACCCTCATCGTCCTCTTCTGCCTGGTGGTGGCCGTGGCCTGTGCCCTCATCGGGGTCCTGGCCACCAGGAAGGCCCCGCCCCCCGCCCAAAACCCTGACGACCGTAAGCGATCGATTTCGCCTCGAAATTTTCCTGCCGGGAGATTTTGGGATCCGTCCGATTAAAAAAAGAAAAGTTTATTTATATTTCTTTTTTTTCTTTTTAAATTTTATTTTATTTAAACTTGTTTTTAAAAATATTACAATTTCTTTAAAAAAATATTTAAATATATAAAAATTTCTAGCAATATTTTAAATATTTAAAAATTTCTAGCAATATTTAAAAATATTTAAAAATTTCTAGAAATATTTTAAATAGCCATGCTTAAAAAAGTTTATTCCTTATATTTACTTTTGTCTTTTTTATTTTATTGAAACCAATTTTTAAAATATATAAAAACTAGAAATATTTTTAAAATATCTAAAAATGTCTATAAATATTTCAAATAGACGTGTTTTAAAAAAGTTTATTTGTAACAGTTTTTTATATTTCTTTTTTATTATTTTATTTTATTTTATTTAAACCTATTTTTAAAATATATTTTAAATTCTAGAAATATTATAAAATATCTAAAAATTCCTCGAAATATTTCAAATAGACATGTTCAAAATAGAAATGATATTGTAATAAAAAAATTAACTATTTCTAAAAATATGCTATGCTATAATGTATAATACCAAAATATATTTAAAAGATATATTTTTGGATAAAATGGCATATAAATATGTAATAACCAAGTTATATTTCCATGTAATAAAGAAATATTTAATAAATCATTGAATATATAATATATAATATTATATATTTAATATAGAGATAAAGTTAATTTAAAATATATAAATAAATATTAATCCAGGGGTAACAATTTGGGAAAAATGGTTATAAAGACGTTAAAATATTAATAAAAATGCGAATATTTGAAATTTCAGAGCTGACCTTTCCCCGTTTCTCTCTTTTCCCCAGAATTCTCCCCAACTTGCCCCACTCTGAAGGTGGAGCAGCGCATCGACTGCATCCCCGACCAACTCGCCACCAAGGTCTGCAAAAATCAGCAAAAAAAGCAAAAATACCACAATTTTGTTTGTCGGGAGTTTTAATTCCTCCCATTTCATACAAAAAAAAAATGGGGGGGAGGGGAATAAATTCCTCATGGGAATAAATTATTCCCATTTAGTAACAAAAAGAAATTACCTCGTTTATACCAGAAAAGGGTTTTTCAACCAGTTTTCAACCACCAATTTTAAAAATATTTTTTTGGTGACTAGAATCACCAATTTCACACATTTCAAATTTCCAAATTTGAAATTTGGAAAAATTGAAATGTGGAAAAGTGGAAAAATTGAAATTTGGATATTTAAAAAGTCGGGAAATTGGCAATGTGGAAAATTTGAAAGTTGGAAAAATTGACATTTGGATATTTTGAAATTTTGACATTTTAAAATTCGGGAAAATAACTTTTTTTTTTTTGTCCTGGCGTGATGTCAGATGTTAAAATTCCCCCCAAAAATGAGCTCATCGGGAAGTAGAACCTTTATTGGGCCGTAACATCACGATATCGGAGCAAATCGAGTCTCGGGCAAAAAAGGAGCTTGGGATTTTGGGAAAAAAAAAAAAGGAATTATTTCAGTTTTCCAACAAAACCCGTCATAAAACAACATTTTCTGGGATTTGGCCAAGAAAAGCGGGATCAAAGGTCACCCGGGGGCAGAGGCTCCGTCGGGTTAATCTTTAATTAATGTCCCGGAGCCGGGGAGGGAGGTTAATTATTAACTTCTAGTTAATTATTTAATTATTTAAATATCTCTAGTATTAAAGAGATAATTAATCTTTATTATGAAAGCGATAATAAGCATTAAGTCATTAAATTAGACTTTAATATTAAGGGGTATCATTTAAGATGAGCATTAAATCCTTGATTAATAATTTAATATTCACGTTGAAGATAGGATTTGATATTTTTATATTTAATTAAATTTATATCTTTGGTTTACAAATTATATTTTCACTTTTATAACATAAAGTATATTCTAGGATTATAGAATATATTATGCTGTGAGTTTATTTATAATTCGCATTTATTGCTTAAATATGTTATATTATAATGATATAATTATTATATAAATTATGATTTATAGAAAATATTTCTAACCTAGACAATATTTCCATATTCTATTATTTAGACGAATTTATACTTATTTAGATCATATAAATTTATACTTTGGACGATTAATGATATAAATTTATGCTTAGATTATATACATTGATACTTATTTAGGGTATTATTGAGATAAATTTATACTCGTTTAGATCGTGTAGATTTATACTTATTTAAATTGTTATTTGGATAAATGTAAACCATAGTTAGTGTATCAATTTATATTGTTTATAGAAAATATCTGTGGAAAAAAATTTTATATTTATTCATTTAATGTGTTTCGATATATATTACATATTATATATTTATTATTTTTATATATTTATTATATTTATTTATATTACATATTATTTATTTAAATTTATTATTTATTATATATTAAAATATATAATTTAATACAATTGTAAGAAAACTATGATAAATACAAAATAAATGTATATTAAAATAAAATATTATGTATTTTTAATTATATACATAAATTTAATATTCATTTATAATAAGTATAAATAAATATATATAAAATAAATAAAATAATGAAATAAATAGAAGATTTAAATAAATTAATTAAAATAAATATATATTTATATAATAAATATTTAAATTAAAATAAATAATAAAAGAAATAGA